GGTCAGAATAAATTTAACCATATAAAACTGAGGTTGCTACAATTTTTACAGATGTTACTGATTTTAATAATGAACAAAAATTTACCTCTGCATCCTAACTCAAGCTACTATCAAATGTGCATTTCTAAGAGACAAAAAAGTGATATTAATATTATCAGGCAACCCAAATCTGTTTCTTGATTTGAAACAATATCACTCATTAGAACATGCAGAAACTAAGAAATTAATTTTTTCTATTTAAATATTGATTTTGTTAAGGAAAATTAATGGTCTGGTTTCTACAACTTTCACTTTGGAGCAAAAATCTGACTTTAAACTTGAAAGAAATAAAGATTTGACATTAATCGTAATAATTATCAATATAGACTGATATGAAAAAAAATTGTGATAATTTTTTTGGCCATATCGCCCAGCCCTAGTAGTATAATAGTGGGTCAGTGTTGGGATGTACAACCATGTCATAATGTCTCCTGATACCACAGATGTTTCGTTTTGTAATTTTTTTACATAATGCATTTCTTGGTTTACTTTAAAATGTCTTTATTACTTACTTTTTTTATAGTCTTGTGTTCCTTGTCACTTCTCTTCTATGGAAGAACTCAAAAAAGAGCAGTCACATCTCCTGTAGTGTTCAAAATGTTCAAAAAGGTCCTTGACTCTTGTGTTGCCTGTGTGCGTTTGTATTTTACAGGACAACATGTTGTTCTGTGACTCCTGTGACCGAGGTTTCCACATGGAATGTTGTGACCCCCCACTGATGCGAATGCCAAAAGGTGAGTGCCCACACACTCAAATGCATGCCTATTCTACTTGGTGTAATCATAGGATTTGTCTTTAGGCACACTCTATTAATTGTATATTTTGTTGATGCATTCATTTACACAAGAATTAGTTTTCTGTTCAATTATAGTTATGATTAATGATTCTTGATTGCTGTTCTGCAGGCATGTGGATCTGTCAGATCTGTCGGCCAAGAAAAAAGGGAAGAAAGCTCTTACATGAAAAAGCAGCACAAATTAAGCGGCGATATAATGCACCACTGGGGCGACCGAAGGGCAGGTATTATAAACCGTTTGGTTCTGTTTATGACCACATTTGCAGAACTCTGTTGAAATTATTTGCACAAGTTTTGCAAGAGACTACTTCAAGTTCTCTTGTCCTCAGACCGGGCCGTCCCTTTAAGAAGCTTCGAGGTGGTGGGCGTGGCAGGAGAAGGCGGGGTGCCGGAGGCGTGGACCAGCGCTCACAAGGCTCCTCCTCCCCACACTCTTCCTCCAGTTCCTCATGCGAAGGTTACCCTGGCGACGATCGCATGCTGTTCTCTCTCAGAGAAGATGATTCTGTGCATGGTGGCCTGCGTTTTAACAAGAAAACAAAAGGCCTAATCGACGCCCTAAGCAAGTTCTTTACGCCATCCCCGGACGGGCGGAAAGCCCGTGCTGAAGTGGTGGACTATTCCCAGCAATATCGTATACGCAAGAAGAGCAACCGCAAGGGCGAGCACGATGACAGGACAGGAGGTGAGATCAGTAGCCCCTCACTGCAGAACACAAGATCCAGGGAGCGTGGTTGGATCCACATCTAGGGGGTGGAGATTGGTAGGTTTAGGGTTGGAGATGGGTGGGTTTAGGGATCAGGGGGTGGAGACGGGTAGGTTTAGGTATATGTAAGGTGGGAGGAGTTGGATCTGGATCCAACCACGCCCCCTGGATCTTGTGTTCTGCAGTGAGGACCATCTCGGTGAGATGGGTCAAAAGATAAATCTAAACTGTTTAGCAGCTATTTTGTTTTCAACATCTGTATTAGGTGATCTATGCTTTGATGATAAGGATAGTAAATACACTGAACAGTGGCCATTTCTCTCAATGTCACGTGTGTGTGGTAAGATTAAAATTGAAAGGTAGTTTTTGGAGTAATGTTGTGCTGACAGTTTGACGTGACAGGTGATGTACACTACTGTTCACAAACTTGAAGTTTGTAAGATGTTTTTGAAAGAAGTCTCTAAGGCTCACCAATGCTCCTGTGATCCAAAGCTGATTTTTTAAAGTTTCTTATTATCAATGTTGCTGCTTAATATTTTTGTGGAAACCATGATATTTGATTTTCGGGTTTCTTCAGTAAATAGAAAGTTCAAAAGAACAGCATTTATTTGAAATAGAATAGCTTTACTGTCTTTTGAAATTTGAAGACAGAATAATTGGAAACTTGTCACACTGTGCCTGAGTAGGAAACAGTGCAAAATGAAAAGTACAAATTAAACGTAAATGTGCTGTCTCTCTTATTAGTGTTTTTGCTCTGTACCTTCAGTTTTGTGATCCCACTCACTCTTTGGCCATTTTAACTGTCTTGGTATCTTTTTGAATCACAGACAATCAGGAGTGTGGAGACGGCTGGCGGGAGGACGAAGACAAACTGCCAGGACATGAGAACCTAACTGAGAAAGACGTGGAGCTCTTCAGACACATTCAGGAACTGGCACTACAGGTACAGAAAGGGAAGGGGAAATATTACATTTTGCCATACAAATGCAAATTAATTTGCTTTTGTTAAATGTCCAATCTGAATTTGATTCATAAATAAGCCGGAAAAAATGTCTTTCTCCATTTGCTGAGAAACATGCTCCTTTATGGGCTGTGTTTGGGAAAGACACTTGTGCTTCAGTTAAGTTTGAAACCGTTATAAAAGTCTAATTTAATAAATGCATTAACAACATATAAATTCAGTGTTAAACATTTAATTAAACGCATATGCTAACTTGTAAACTTTCACGGCTATAAACTAGTTCTGTCAAATGATTAATTGCGATTAATCGCATCCAAAATAAAAGTTTGTTTACATAATGTTTGTGTGTGTACTGTGTATATTTATTATGTATATATAAATACACACACATCCATGTATATATTTAAGAAAAATATTTTCTGTTTATGTATAAATATATATATATGTAAATATTTTAAAAATATATACATGAATGTTTGTGTATTTATATATTCATAATAAATATACACAGTACACACATTTATTATATAAACAAAAACGTTTATTTTGGATGCGATTAATTGCGATTAATCGTTTGACAGCACTACTATAAGCATAACATAATATAAACAAACGGAATCCTTCTGTCGATAAATTGTATGCTTGATGGTAGGGATGCCTATTGTTTGTTTGCAGTCACTGATTCTCTTTTGCTATATTAGCAAAGACTTGGAAGCTGTGAAGGCCTTTATCTCTGCAGAATGTAATGTGGGGGATTTGAGAGTTTCCATTATCTTGACAGCTGGTGCCTCTCTCAGTGATACAAACACAAATGCACATGTGTAGACTGATTGGTGTATGTGTGTGTGTGTGATTTCAAGCTCCCAGCAGTAGCAGCCACTCTCTGACTGCCTGAGGCCATCAGTCGAAGAAAAACACTCACTAACCCAGAGAGAGACAATCATATTCGCATACACCATCAGACAGATCCAACATGCTTTTGTTGAGCAGCCAGAAAGGAAGAATACCATGCTGTATTAACTGAATGTGTGCGCTCTATAACATTTAGGACATGTACACACTGCAAAGTTTAGAGAGTGATAGCTGCATTTAAATGTGGGATTGAATCACTCTAAATTATTATTCTGTATGTGTACAGAAATATAAGAGTCATTCCTGAACTTGCGATGGTTGGCAGTTTAGCGATACAATTTTCTTTTAGCAAGCACAACCAGATGTAGCATGAACATCTAGAAAATCTCCTTGGATTTTCGCTGTATGAAAAGCTTTGTTTTTCACAGGTAAAGGTCAGACAAGCGAGATGTAGATGACATAATTTTCAGTTTGCTCAACAAAATGTAAATATTTGAATGTGTAATTTCTACTATAGCATTTCAGACAAATTTATGAAATGTATTTATTAAAAATTTATTTAAACTTAATTTCATAATTCATAATTCAAAAATGAGTGATAGCTCAAAAATCTCAAGTGAGAAACCATTAATAGCTTTAATTTGTATACAATCTTTGATTTTGTTTAGGTTGAATAATGCCACTAATAATTAAACATTTTCCAGATGTTGTCTCAATTACTGAAGAGAGGACTGTTATTACTGTTATTAACTGACCGATGGTTTGGCACAAGCCGTTTCACCTCCGCTTTGCATATGTGTGAGATGCAGAGCAGAGAAGTGTGTGATCACTACTGAGTGTCAGCAGGCTGGCAAGTGGCAGATGCTCTGAATTTCCACTTGGGCTGCGGATAAGAGCTAATAATAATCCTGTAAGCTTGGGTGTGGAGCTGTATGCTTGTGAGAAACTGTGATTATTATATTTCTTGTGTAAAAGAGAGCGACTGTTTCTTTTGTGTGTGGCAGGATGCTCTGGGAAAAGGGCATAGTGGCCTAATAGTATCTAAATTGTAAATCTGCCCACTTTATCTTTGCCATAACTCCTATTTTTTTTTTTATTTACTTCAACTCCTATAGAAAGTCGGGGTGACTGGTCCACCGGACCCCCAGATGCGCTGCCCATCTGTTATAGAGTTTGGGAAGTATGAAATTCAGACGTGGTACTCTTCTCCATACCCACAGGAGTACAGCAGGTAACCAACAGCATGTGTGATAATCATCCTCAAAATTCTGACATTTGTTCATAACAAAAAAGTGGACGAGGCACATTTTATAATTTTCAATATATATATATTTTAATATTGCAGTACTTGCACAATTTAACTTGGTAGTTTTAACAGTGATGTTATTGTTAAAGGGGTCATGTGTCAAACTAGCTGTCAAACATCTTAACCTCTTACTGTTTTTGTTGTATTTAAATGCTCTCACAAGAGGGATGTGCTTAAGCATTTTTAGGCTGTAAATTCTGATGTGTGATTGTTTCATTGTGACAGGCTCCCTAAGCTCTACCTCTGTGAGTTCTGTCTGCGCTACATGAAGAGCCGCAGCATTCTCTACCAGCACATGCGAAAGTGCAACTGGTTTCACCCACCTGCCAACGAGATCTACAGGAAGGACGACGTGTCCGTGTTTGAGGTGAGGAAAAGAATTCTCCGCCCAGATAAAAAACACAAATACACGAAGACGCTCGCACACAGACACTCGCACACACACACGTCTTTGTTTATACACACTTGGCAGCAGAGACATAAGCTCGTCGACACTCTAGTCATGCACACGCAAATGTGTGTTTTCATACGTGCTGAGCCAACAAAGGAAATCTCATTCACACTGATATGTGCGCACACTCCCACACTTGCTCAGGCAATAACATCCGCCCACTTCCTGCCCTCACAAGGTGTTGTAATGATGCCGCACAGCAGGGTGACAAATGAAGAACGGTAAGCTCTCATTGCTTCAGAATCACTATGGTGATTTACTACATCCTTTGTGTTTTTATGAAAGAACATTTAGGTGTAACCATGACATGAAGATCTGAATCGGTGTGGTCTAAGTCAACGCTGCCAGACCATATTTTACTGAGATTACATAGTCACGTTCACACACTCAGAGTTTGGAGATTGACAGCCATATGTTTCTCGAATTCTCCAGTACAGAAAACAGCTTACAGGACCATCCTGCCTACAATCTATATGAACGAATAACTCTTTTCTAGCCGCTTTTTCAAGGTTCCTGTGGGTCCCTAAAATGTTTTCAATTCAGTTTGATCCAATTTCATAAGGACTCTTAAAAAGTATACATGTGATTTGGTCTAATGTGATCGTTAAACTTCAGAAGGCTTTGATTTGATTAAATAAATATGAGCGTTGTACGTTTTAAATAAAAATGGGGTACTGTTGGCTTGCAGTTTCAGAGCACTTAGCAAACCAATGAATAGTGTGCATTTATGCCAAGTGATTGCAGTGTTTTTGCTATTTCTATTGTGATATGTTATAGATAGATGGTTGTAAGAGTGCTTATTTATCTCTCATCTTTTTGATTGAGCAGCTGTGAGTCGTAACAGACATTTACATATATTTGTTTAGTAGACACTTTATCCAAATCGACTTACAAATTAAGGAATGCAACAAGTGATTTGTCTTAAAGAGTCAATAACATGAGAAGATGCTAGCAAAATTAAGCATTAATTTTCACATTATCACACTATCACTTTTTTTTTTATATCCCTCCTTGTTCTATCTTGTACTATTCTGGTCAATGTTTCACACATTTCAAGATATTATGCATTTCAAAACTGTGTATTTTGGGCTTGTTTGTATCATTTATTTTTTGATTATTTTGATTATACAATAATATGTGTCTGGCAATTAATTTAATTTAAACCCATGTGGCTTCTCACTGGGCCGACCTGTCACAGGAAGGGAAGACTAATAACTTTATTTAACACAAAGTATAAAATCCAGTATTACTCAATTTGCAATTGAATGCCCCAGCATGCTCAACTAAGTAAAATAATCTGAAAAACAATTAATTAATTTGATATTCTTTGGGTTTATTCTGGATGGACATTTGGTATTAAATTTATTTGTGCAGGTCTTAAAAGGAGGTCTTAAAAATTTGATTTTAAAAACTAAACATATATACCCTGTTTTCGGTTCTCATGATGGCAGTCAATAATGGCTGTCATGCATAACGTAATGCCGGGTTCACACTTCATGATTTTAGATTCACAGTCCTGCAGTATGAAATGTGTTTTAACTGGAAATGACATCAGCGACAACCTACAGCCAATGAGAGAGCAAGATACAGGGCAAGGGAAAGTTCAAGGGGTGGAGTCATAATAAATCTGCAACAGAACATAAGCAACCAATCATTCTGTCCTTCATATTTTTCTTTGTTTATTTTTTATTTTTCACTGCAAATCATCATACAGACAACTTGGACTGCAAGCTTTATGTGGGGTACTGTCTTTGACAGGAATAAATCCAGAAAGGAGTCTCTCGCGTGATCTTACATTATTTCCCGTATCGATTCTTGCATGTGTTTGGTTGTGAAATGTAGTTTGTAGACAATGCAGAGTTGTCTGCGATCCATCATGTAGTGTGTACACAACAGCAACTAGATGGTACCCCAGACAGTCGTGCATGGTGAGGACAGCAGCGATTTAAAAATCGTGCAGTGTGAACCTGGCATAACTAGTCCTCCAATGTGGTTCCAATCATAGCACAAGTTAACCAAATGTTAAACTCTCTCCACATTTATCAACACTACTCTGTGTTGTCGGGTGTGTTATTGCTTGCCTTCCTCTTTAGCCAGTTGGTTTTAGAGGCTCGGGTTTCAGAGCTGCTCCTGGTCTGGTCCTGACTCAGGAGGATACCTGTGGTGGCAACACTGCTGAAAGCTAACACTGTTGGCGTTCAGCCGATAGGAAAAGCAGGAGCCTTGCCATTTACCACAGCCTCTGGTTCTGTGGAGCGAGATTCATGCCAGTCTCTACTGCACAATTTCTTTCAAAATGTTCATTTTGTATTTAGAAATTAAGAGTCTTACAGGCATTACATTTTGCAAATATGAATAATGAATTGGAGTTGATTGTAAAGTGTAACAGTATCTAAATCCTAGAAAATTCACTTTACATTGTCGCTTAATTGCATGTCTGGTTAGGACACAGTATGTCAACCAAAGGCTGAAAAACATCTTTTCTACACTCTAGGTGGATGGAAATGTCAGCACAATATACTGTCAGAATCTGTGCCTGCTGGCCAAGCTCTTTCTGGACCATAAGACTCTGTATTATGATGTGGAGCCCTTCCTCTTCTATGTGCTCACACAGAATGACAGTAAGGGCTGCCATCTCGTAGGATACTTTTCAAAGGTAAGCTAATCATTTCACAAACCTTTTTGAGTTACTTTTAAGTGCACTGTAGTCAGATGACAATGTTGAGCAATTTGGGTTTGTTATTAATGCTATTTTTTTTGCACATTTTTACTGCTTTTGTGGCTTGCTTACAGTAGATGGTTTGTTTGATTCTTTATGGGTTGATTATACTCCTGGAAAATATGTTTACAGTGAATCATTTTTATTTATTTATTTTAATTAACAGCTTTTTGCTTATTTTGAGGGTGATTTGAGGATGCTGTTTATGCACTCGGTTTAAATAATTTGAAGAGCCATATTCACAACTGTGTATGTTTAAGCATGTGTTCTGTATGGTTATTATTTGCATTTTTAAACAGAATAATACGAATATTTCGTGGCACATAGATAGAAATGTGTTAGTGAAATGTGTGATTGTGAATTTTACAATCTTTTGTGCTTTTTTCCCTTTTTTCATCTCCAGGAGAAGCATTGTCAACAAAAGTATAATGTATCCTGCATCATGATTCTTCCACAATATCAGCGCAAGGGCTATGGACGATTCCTCATTGACTTCAGTAAGCACTCTGCATTATCTTTCCTCTGTTCCCCCAGTCTGTGAATTTTTATTTTTATTTTTTTTAAGTAAAGAAACTATTTGAGAATTATACTCCTTCAGATAGTGTCATTAGACACCGAGGATAAACTGTTGTGACTCTCTCTGCAGGTTACCTGCTGTCCAAGAGGGAAGGCCAGCCGGGCTCACCAGAGAAGCCATTGTCAGACCTTGGCCGGCTATCCTACATGGCATATTGGCGTAGTGTGGTGCTGGAGTGCCTACATGAGATCAGAGATCGACAGCTCACCATCCGCAAACTCAGCAAAATCACTGGCATTTGCCCTCAAGATATCACGGCCACTCTGCTTAATTTGAATATGCTGGAACAGAGAGGGGACCGGTAAGTGAGATGGCTGATTTTCATTGATTATACATGGTAGCATAGCAAGGATGCACTACATTGATCAAAAGCGAATGTAAAGACGTTTGTTAAAAGAGTTCTATTTCAAATAAATTCTGTTCTTTTTTAACTTTATATTTTACAAAAATAAAAAATGTTTCTTGAGCACTAAATCAGCACATTAGAATGATTTCTGAAGGATCATGTGATGCTGAAGACTCGAGTAATGACTGCTAAAAAGATCACTATATTCACAGATATATTAAAGTAGAAAATTTAAAGTTATTTTAAATTGTAATATTACTGACCCCAAACTTTTAAATGGTATTGTATATTTGTTATATTTTTAGCAGTCTGTATAGTTTCCTGATTTTTGGTTTTCCTTTCTTGTTATAGGGTGATTATCCTGCGAAGAGAGAAGCTGGTGGCTTCTCACATGGCCCGACTGAAGGCCAAACCTCGGCTGCTAGAAGTCGATCCAGACTGCTTGCGCTGGACACCTGTTATCATCACCAACACAGTAGTATCTGAAGGAGAAGGGGATGAGGAAGAGGAAGAAGGAGAGGAGGGACCTAAAGATGTAAGCATCTTATCATGTATTCAAGGTTCAGTAGATGAAGTATGCAGCATTTAGTATGTGTACCAGTACATACTGAAGCTGAACTTCTGTTCTATGCTTCTTGTCTCTTTTATAGATCAAACCCAGCCACAAGAGCTCCCCACTCTCTTGGCATATGAAAGGAGAATGGGAAAAGGAGGAAGAGAAAAGGGGCTTCCCAGCGTTCCCAAAAAAACAAAGCTCTCCTCCATCCTCTTCTGTTTGCAACAGTGTTCTCGGTCCTGAACATTCTTCCCTTTTTCTTACGGCTAATGGGGAGCGCAGGGGACCTGGACGCCCTCCCAAAAACTGGTTATGGGGCAAGGTGAAGGATGCACCACGTACAGGACCAGGTCGACCCCGTAAACTAAGGCCCCCAGATGATGAGGAGGAGGAGGAGGAGGAAGAAGAGGAGGAGGAGGATGATGAGGAGGATGAAAGAACTGGCATTAATAAAGTGACAACATCACCAATGCTCTTGGCCTTAGAAAATGAGCCTGACTCCACATCAGCCTGTCCCTTGGAGGCTTCTAGGCACCCCGCAGTTCCACCATCACGCAGCAGAGGACGGCCTCCACGGAAAAAGCGTGGCCCAAAACGCAGGCTTAGTGAGGAGCCTGAAGATGACCTGCCGTCGTTGCCCCACACCACAAGGCTGAGTGAATCCATGCCAACCTTTATCAGTGAGAGCAGTGAAGATGAGGATGAAGATGATGAGGAAGAGTTAAGAGCTCGTTCACCACCTGTCCTCACCAAGCCCACATTAGGGCTTAAATGCAAGGTATGTCCAATATATTTTCATGTATGTTTTTTTTTCTTTTGCATGACACATTTTTTATATAGATCTTAAAAATAAGTAGTAACAATTAGTAGTTTGAGTGTAATACCAAAAGGCTTTTTTTTCAAATAAAGGCTAGAAAGATCTGGAAATAAAAATGTTGTGGATTATTCTAGAATATTCTTTGCTTTCCTCCCCTTGTAGTCTCAGAAGTCCTTGCGAAAGCGGCGTGTACGTCAGCGCAGCCATCCCCACAGCAGTGTAGTTACAGAGACCATCTCAGAGACAACTGAAGTTCTGGATGAGCCATTTGTGGATTCAGATTCTGAAAGGCCCATGCCCAGACTAGAAGAGGAAACTCCATTTGGCAACCCTCTCCGATGTTACCCAGCAGCCCGCAAACACATGGGACTTGCCCCAAAAAGCATCAACAGAGGCAATCTGACTGAATCGGAGGAAGATGGTTAGTATTTCTGTGTTTTTTTCATGTAGTTTTGTGTGATGTTAATGTTTGCAATAGTGTGATTTCAAAAATTGCTTAAAGGATGGTTACCTCTTTTCTGTTTAGATCCCACTCCTGTGTTGAAGCCAGTTGCTGTCCTGAGAAGACTTGAACCTTCAGAGGCCACACAGAGAACAGGGGCAACAGCCGAGATGCCTGAGGTTCCAGTAAAGAGGAAGAAAGGCTGGCCTAAGGGCAAGAGTCGCAAACCACTCCACTGGAAGAAGCGTCCAGGCAGGAAGCCTGGTAGTGGAGCCGGTCAGACAGGTGACACCAGTCTGGCAGATCCATCCTCAGAGGACCCACCACCCCCAAAGATCAAAATGAAGCCTGGCAGGAAACCTCGTAGCTATTACCTGCAGCGGGCCCAAGAGGAAGCAGCCAAACAGGAGTTTGAGAGAAGCCGATTAGCTCAGCAGCAGCTAGACAATTCAACATTGGAGGACAAAACCTGTAAAAGGACAGCCAGAGCCTTAACATCTGACCTCAGCCCTGAGAAACAGAACGACTCTGAAGAGGAAGATGATTTCCTTCAGGACTTTAGAGAGCCATCCAAACCCAAAAGGCGAGGTCGGCCTCCAAAAAATGGCAACCTCCCTCCCCCTGTACCCAAATCTCCCCCTGTGTCTGAGCCAGAAGAAGATGAGGAGGAAGACAGACCATGGTCAGTTGAGAAGATCAGCCGTCCGCCTTCTCGTACCATGTCGCAGTCTTCCAGCACCAGAGTCTCTCAGCCAAGAGCTAACACAGACATGGCAGATGCAGAGGAGGGCGAAGAGCGGGATGTTGAAGATTGCGATAATGGGGTTAATCGGAGAACAGCAGCGACACCAGGCTCAGGAAGCCGGCGTAGTGATGATCATGATGCCGACGATGAAGGGGATGGCCGTCTTGAAGAGAAAAGTGACAGCAGCAGTAGCACTAAAACGAGAAAGGGCCCAGATTCAGAGGATGATGTGGAGCAGCAAGAGGATGAAGAAGAGGAACCATCATCACCTGCTCGCTCTCCCCCTGTGAAAGAAGAACCCCAGAGCAGTGAGGGTTTTTTAGACTTACAGGCAAACATGGCACGGGATTATGTCAGCAAACAGGAAGAAGCTGAGGACGAGGAGGAGGATGCAGAGGAAGTGCAGGAGGTGAAGACTAGCTCTGCTGATACGGAAGAACGGCAACGACGAGAACAGGAGGAATCTGCAGCGGCTGCGGCAGCTGTAGAGACAGTAACCGCTATCGCAGTGCCCTCTGAACCACTGGACATGCAGCCTTTACACATAGAGGAAAAGACTGTGCTCATGATGGGGACTGAGCATTCACACCAGCATCCTGACTTCAAAGATGACCTGAGCCACCAGCAACACACGCATCACCACAGTAGTGAGCTGGATCTGGAAACAGTGCAAGCTGTCCAGTCACTTACGCAAGGAGAAGCCCAGGAGGAGGATTCAGAGTCCCATGGAGCCTACCAGGATTGCGAAGAGACACTGGCTGCCTGCCGAACCCTCCAGAGCTACAGTCACGGTGAGGGAGAGGAGGAAACACTAGCGCTGGTGGAAGATTGTGGAGCCTCCCAGCACAGTCCCATGCCCAACCCACCGATGCCCGTGTTACCAAACCAGTCTGTCCGTTCAGTCAACAGTCCTGGAATGACTCCTGGTCCTATGGACCCTGGACCAGGAGTGCCTGGTCCCACAGGAACTGGAGGGGGAACAGGTGGAGGGTATACTCAAATAACCCCTGAGCATCCCAGCTCTCTATCAGCTCCCTCATTGCAAAACATGGAGACCTCTCCCATGATGGATGTGCCATCTGTTTCTGATCATTCACAACAAGTGGTAGACAGTGGATTTAGTGACCTGGGCAGCATTGAAAGCACCACCGAAAACTATGACAATCCGAGCAGCTATGACTCAACAATGGGTGGTGGAGGTAATGGAGGAGGGAATGGAAGTAATGGAGGTGGCATGTCTGCAGCTGCGGCAGCAGTGGTAGCAGCTTCCTCCTCTTCGTCGTCTTCGTCCTCTAGTTCAGCCACACCTTCGTCATCATCTTCGCAAGGCAACAGCTGCTCCTTCGTCTCAACTCCTGGGCTGACGTCCTCCAGCACAGGCGTTGGCTCTCAGATTGCCATGGGTAGCTGTAGCCTTATCCAGCAAGCAGGTCCAGGACCAACCAATGGACCTGGTGCTAACAGCGGTAGTAGCGTCCCACAACCTCCTCCCCCACCTCCTCCCCCTCCAAGTAGCACTCCAAGTTGCGGTATAAAGTCTCCGCAAGGCTGCGTCATCGAAAGGCCGCCAAGTGCCAGCCAGCAGCAACAGAAGAAGGTCTCTCAACCAACTCAACAACAGCAAAACCCTCAACCGCAGCCTCCACCCTCTGCTCCACCACCCCCTCCACCTCAACAACAAGCACTCTCGCAGTGCAGTATGGGAAATGGCTTCGCTTCCACACCCATGATCATGGAGATTCCTGAAAGTGCAGGCAGCGGTGGAGGAGGCCGGAGTTTGTATGACCGCATGGGTCAGGACTTTGGCGCTGGTGGCTATGGACAACACTCTGCTTCTTTCAGTTTAGCCAAACTCCAGCAGCTAACCAACACCATCATGGACCCCCACGCCATGTCTTATTCACATTCAGCAGCAGTCACCTCATACGCGACGAGTGTTTCGCTCTCCAACCCAGGCTTAGCGCAGCTTGCTTCTTCCCCACACCCACCGTTGCCCCAGGCTCAGCCCACTATGACCCCACCTCCCAATTTGAGTTCTGGCTCCATGAATCTTGGTTCCCCCTTGATCCAGTGCAACATGACAGGCGCTAATATTGGACTACCTCCCCCTCCCCATTCACAGCGGTTGCAAGGCCAAATGGCCACAGTCAAAGGCCACATTTCAATTCGGTCCAAAGCCTCTCAAATTCCTACGGGCTCCCCTCACCAGCAGCAATTGTACAGTCGCAGCTCTGGTGCTGTGACCATGCAAGGCACCCCACGCACTCTAGCGGTGCAACGTGGCATGATGACAAACCTCATGCCCACACCTGCCGCCTACAACTCCATGAACATGAATCCGCTCAATGCTGCCATGTCAGCTGGCTACCGCATGCCACAGCCCATGATGAACAGTGGGTACCATAGTAACCCGCCATATATGAACCAGCCGGCCCAGTACCCCATGCAGATGCAAATGGGCATGATGGGAGGGCAGGCTTACCCACAGCAGCCTATGCAGCCCAATCACCATGGCAACATGATGTACACGGGCCCCTCGCACCACAGCTACGCTGGCGTCCCCAAACAGTCGCCTTACATGAGCAGATGAGCACCAGAGAACGAGCAGAGAGAGACGTTCCCCACCGGACTCTGCATCTCTGTACTTTTTCCATTTGTATCCACCCTCCAAAGTCTGCGCAAAAAGGCAACAAGATAAGTGAGCTTGGTGGAAGAAGAGGACATAGAGACTGCGACGATTTCTTTTCCTTGCTAAATATGTTGTCGTCAAGCTCTGTTCCTTTTAGGTTCATTTCCCAGTTGCCTGAGCTGGGGAGATGATGATGATGATGGTCTGATCACGGGAGATGATCTAATGGACCTTTATTGTGGCAAGTGTCACGCTCCCACAGACCCTGTCTGCCGTGGTTGTACCAACAGGGGTTGGACCACCGAAATGTCCGCCACTCCATCCGTGAGACAGAAGGGGCGAAGTATCAAAGCAGCTAAAGGGGAAGTGGACCTAACTTTTCAAACTGAGAAACAAATACATTTACGTTGTTATTGAACGTACATTGAATCATGCACACAATCGTTCAATTGACATAGGAAGCCTTACCTAAATAGAGACAAAATAATTGTAGATGGACTATTTTTTTCTTTTTTTATTATATTATTATTATTTACTTTATTTTTAATATGTTCTCTTTTTTTTCAATGACTGTTGAAATGCTTGTGTTTCAGTCTGACCTTCTCATGCTTTGTGTGTGTGTGGCTGTTCTGGACAAAGTGATTCACGCTCGCTCGCTCATACACTCACTCATGAACACATTCACTCGCACAGAGCTCTATAGCCACTTGAGAGCTTACATGGAGGCACTTCTAGTTTGGACGCACAAGGCGTCCGAGGTAACTGTAAATCTGTGTCTTCCCAGTATGGAATCGTGTATATCCAAACGTAACAGTTGTAAGAGCCCAAATGGACGTCTGATAATAATGACCATGCGTCCATAGACCAGACTAAACAGAAGTCCTTTGAAACTAGTTAATGTAAATATTCTGGTACTACCTGGTTCACAGCACAGACTCAAAATCCAGTACACACACTTTCACGAACACTCCACAGCTGTCACTAGAGGGCAGCTGCAGTCAATAGTGGGAAGGTCTTTAAGTTCATACTACAAAGTGCAGCGTCCACGTAATGTGGTGGGTAAAAAGGGTTTAACCACACAGGAGCACATCTGCAGAGCAGTTAGCATTGCAACTGTGCTCATCCAATGATGTTAATGATGCCTCCTAAAGTAGGCCTTACTGTGGCACCAGTAAGTAGCGCTGCTCGTACTCCAGCTGATCATGCAGTAGTGATGTTAGCTGTTAGCCACAAGAGGGAGTTGTACAAATAAGTAGATCCGTGTCTGCAATGCACACATGGACAAATGAACACTCATACCCGGGATAAAGGTTAAAGTGCATGATGTCCTGAGATGGTTACTGTTTTAGGACAATGGGAAGAGAATTTCTTAATGTTCCAGTATTCATTGTCAATATGAGGAATCTTTCTCAAAGACCTGACGTTTCATATATTATTTGTGCGCTTTTGTTTTTCTGAATTTTATCAGACTGGGCAGCTTTCTTTTATGACAAGCTGACTCTTTTTGACTTTAGAAGACTTATTGTAGAGAAAATGTTTTTTCTAAAATATAAAAAAAGAAATTCTGACATGGATATTGGTACTGTCATTTTTTTCACTTCTGTTTCAGGAAAAAACTGCATATTTTTTAGCTCGACTCTTGGGGTAATATTATTAAGAAATTCAAAACTAAAAAAATGTACAACTCACTTTTAGTGAATTTAAGATGCCTTTAACCTTTCCATTCCATCTCATCTCTAGAGTTTTCTATCTTTGTGTAGTATATTAATGCTATTTTAAAACAAAAGGAAAAAACAGATATCTAAAGGTCACTTAGCGTTATTTTCTTTTTTCTTGGTTATTGTGTGTGTATAAGACAACTTCCTTACATCTACGAGGCATGTAAAAATGAGCTCAGTATATTTCTGTCTGTTTATATTGCTTACCTTTTCGTATACTTTGTAATTGTACATGGTGAGTTGTAAGCTAAGTGAGAGCCTGGTAGCCCGGAGAAAGAGAGAGAGCCAAGCTGGGGCGCTCGGTGATGGTCGGAAGCGTCCACCTTCCACTCCTCTCTGTTTTGTCCTTGTATGTATTTCCATTTATTTGTTTCTTTCTTTTTTCTTAGCAAGTACTTTCAAAGAACTCTGTACATTTTAACATGAAACAAAAAATAAATTATGTTGAGCCATTTCACTTGTTATTGCATTTCTTGAAAAATCTCTAAAGTAATGTGTATTTTTTTTAATGAATTCTCTCTTCTACAAGTCATTCCACTCTATCATATCAAAGCCAGTGTATGGACAGGACATCTCTTTTAAACTGAACATGAACTTCAGTTTAACTGGAAAGACTAATTCTAGACATTCTATAAACATTTAAATTGTATATGCTACTAAACTAACTTTTCACCCCCATTTAATTGACCCTGTGAGCTTCCGTCAGATCATGTAATTTGTTCACATTTTGAAAACTAATCTTTACAATGCCCCTAATTTAGTCATGGGAGTCTTGTAAATGAGTAAAAACTGATCTCTTATTTAAGTGTGATAGCTGAAAAAAGGTTTTTGAACAATTCGGTCATTACACAAAATAGATGGTTTTTCCATTTTAAAGTACATTTCTTGAAGATCCTGAACATTCTATCAGAAAATCTTTATAGTCAGGGCTCGACAATAAGGACTGTCCGATGGCCTGGGCCAGCATGAAAGATGCCCGGGACAATTTATAGAATTGTCAGTGTGATTTGTTTATTAGTACTTATTTTATGGACTCTTCACTTGATGTTAATAATGATTGAACTTTGTATTTGTTAGGCTTGTAGTTTTTGCTGTGGTTACGAAAGTGGAATCAAGAATTGTAAAATTTAACTGCCATCTAAAATGTCGGTGTCACAAGCTTATTTATTAGAATACTACATAATGTGGGTCAAAAACTATTTTATTTTATTTATTTATTTTGGCAGGGCCAGTGAAAATGTTGGTGGGGCAAGTAAAAAATTTGAACCAGTGTCCCGACTGGGCAGGTAGAAAAATTCAGTGTTTAGCCCTGAAAGTGTTAAACTGCATTGTATCCGTAGCTCAATTTAAAAACTGTACTATGCTATGATATAGCATTTGCATTTAAAAACAAAGCAACGGGGTTGACTGTTTTACAGTTTACTAGCCTTGTACACACGATCGTGACACTGATGTATTAGAAATACAAAATTTTGTGCTGCTTTTTCTACAGATATCCAGTTTAATAATAGTTTATTACTGGATACAATTGTTGCATCCTTGTTGACTTAAGATTTCCATTTAAATTTAGTTCGATATCAACTTAAAAGTTAATATTTAATCATAATTTAATAGTATAATGCTGTGATGCTTAAATTCACTTGTAGCATTTAAAACTTTTCTTTTTTCTCTTTTGACAGAATAGATTTTCTTTGTCAATCATATATTATCTGCCATGACATGGAAACTCGGTACTTATTATCAGACAGATTTTTAATTGGAGAATCCTTAAAAGGTACGTTATTTTAACAAGTGGCAGTTATAATGATAATAGAGTTAGTGTATAACCTAGGGACACAACTTCAAGTCTTTTGAATAAAATGTCTAAAACTGGAATTAGAATTATTATAGTATATAAAAATTATCTATATAGACAGAGAACAAATACAAAAAAATATATAACATGGATAGGGACAGGCATCAAAAAGGCATCTTTGTGGAGACCAAAATCTTTAATGTTTTTGTTGATGTGCAAAGAAAATGCCTGTAATAACAGTATAAGTTCGTGTCAGCTTGTCTTTGTTTAACGCATAAGGGACACATACGGCAGTTTTTCATGTGTTGCTCTAAATGTAATCATAATAATGAGTTTATTATGGAATTTTTAACCTCAATGCCCATTGTCAGAGGACAAGCTACCTTGAACCAATAAAATAACGCTGTGCAGTGACGTTTATTGGCCACTGTCCAATGACCTTCGAGTATTATAGTCCACTCGCTTCCGCACTAATATGGAGTGGGCGGGTACACGCGATAGACGTAGTCCGCCATTGGTTAGAGCGAATGACAATCATTTATTTTGTCGTCTCAAAATAACGGAGAAGGAAGCGACATTTCTGGTTCGGTCTAGTATAAAAATCGTGGGAAGTGGCAGAAAAAAAAAAACAGGGATCGTGAGTATTGATTTATATTTACAATATGAGCATTTACGCCCAAAGAAAAAAAAACGACAGATGAAAATGCGGAATGAATGAACCTTTTTTTAATCCGTAGCTTGTCACAAGACAGTCCTGTGATGCGAGAGTGGGGAGGAGAAAATATTAACATGATGACGATGATGATGTGACCCTGCTAACAACCAAACCAACCCGTTCCTGTCCCTTCATCCGAGCTGGCTGCTCTTAAAAACAAAACTATTCTTCTGTCCGGTAACCAGATAGGGATGTAGAATAACAAATGAGCTCAGAGGCCTATCGGTTACCCGTGAAGATGCTGGCAGGTTGCTGTCCTGTTATTGCCTGAACGATTCATTTTGTGTTTCACATTTTGTTACTTTGTCTTTCCAGCTGCCAAGATGATACACAGCCTTTTCCTGATTAACGCATCGGGGGACATCTTTCTGGAGAAGCACTGGAAGAGTGTGGTCAGCCGATCCGTCTGCGATTACTTTTTCGAGGCCCTGGAACGCGCCACGGAACCGGAGAACGTTCCTCCGGTGATCCCGACCCCGCATCACTACCTCATTAACGTGCTCCGCCATCGCATCTACTTCGTGGCCGTCATACAGAGCGAAGTGCCTCCTCTGTTTGTCATCGAGTTCCTCCATCGTGTGGTGGACACATTTCAGGTTTGAGGGGTTTATTGTATTCTCCTACTTTACCATTGTGTAGTGATGGTGTCAAATAGTAATTCCGTTCATTTTGATGGATGTGGCTGTACCATGGCAATACTGTTATTACCAGTGTTGGGGAAAGTTACTTTTAAAAGTAATGCATTACAATATTGCGTTACTCCCTAAAAAAAAGTAACTAATTACGTTACTTAGTTACTTTTTATGGAAAGTAATGCGTTCCGTTACTTTTGAGTTA